TATTATTATTATTATTATTATTATTATTATTATTATTATTATTATTATTATTATTATTATTATTATTATTATTATTATTATTATTATTATTATTATTATTATTATTATTATTATTATTATTATTATTATTATTATTATTATTATTATTATTATTATTAATTTCGCTATTTTAATTATTGTAATTATAAATATATGAATTAGCATTGTTATCACTTACTGTTGTTTACGATTAATATTGGTGTTGTTTACATATTTATATTGTCTTGCACATTTCCAGAACATTATTCGATTTCATTCCGTCCCATTTATTGATAAGGTTTTGCTTATTATGCTTCCATAGCAACAGAAATGTCACCGATGGTAATTTAGTGGAAATGTCACCGTCTGAGGAAAGAAGCCTATTCTGTTTTGAATTTTTTATCAAATCCATTGAAATGATATCAGATACGGTGAATGTTCGATTAATGGAAATCAAATTTAATGATTACGAATGGTTTACTATTTCGCATGGATAGTTCATTTATTCTGATTTTATTAAATTAACTTAATTAATTTTAATTTCAGTTTCAGAAATTTACCTTTTTAATGGAGCGATAAATTAAAGTTTTCAATAACATAATGGAAATATTTAGCCAAATTTTGTTCAAAATTTTAAAATTATTTATCACTAATCTTGAACCATTTTTATCCAAATGAGTTAAATTTCTTGTAATGTTATACACTTAAATTTAATAATTTAAATGTTGAAAATTCGATAAAAATTCTCATTAGATGGAATTTAAAAAATCAATAAATTGAAGTTTAATTTAAATTTGGAATATTTTTCAAAAAATTATTTGCAGAATGTTGGAGTAATATTGGTAAAAGATGTTACTTGATTAATAAGGATAATTTTTTGAATCAAATGATTACCAGTAATCTTCATATTCGAGCAATCTGTAACGACCAATCAGTTTACTCGTGTAATGTTAGCTTAGAATCATTTCGTAGAACCAAAGTAAGAAAGTTTCTTTTTTTTTCTATTTCATTTTTATTTAATTATGTTTAAAAAAAGAAAAATTATGAAAGTTGTAAAAAATGTAATATGAATTAGAAAATTTTTCCAAAATTTTCTTAAATATGACAAAATTATTTATTAATTTTTGTTTATTCAAAAAATATCTCCGAAACTTTTTAAATGTTAAATTAAATTGTATTTAAAAATATTTTTCCTATATATTAATATATTGCAAAAGTTATTAATTCAAAAATATTTGAATATTTAAAATTCATTTGAAAACGAATTTACATCTGTGGCATTCAAAATTTTACTTTGTTCATTTATTTTAAGGATGCGGCAAATTGTAAAGGAATTATAAAATTATATCCTGTGGATAAATCATCTAGAATTTTGCATATACGTGTTGCAATGTGTATTTTTAACGTGGATCGTATACATCCTACAATTTCCCATCATACTATTATTGTCGCTAATCGGAATACTCAAACGGATTGGTGCCGGATGAATCAAAAAATTCAAATAGGCGTAAAAATGCGACATGCTGCTATACAGGTAGAAAATTTGAAAAAAAAAGCAATTTTTATTTACCTTCAATTTAAAAATTTGCATGTAAATATAATGACGAATCAAAATTACCTATGAGGTGGATTTAAATTTAATTAAGACAAGAATGAAAATAGCAAATACAATTCGAATATTTACTATCTATTGAGAAAACACAATTTTTGGTGGTAATTAATTTACAGTAGCTTAGTGGGGAATTTTATAATTTATTTATTAAATTGAATGATACGATAATTACTGTAAAAACCCTAGTGAATTGTCAACTATTAATTGATTATTAGAAATAATTACAACTATTAATTACATGGATTGTTCTCTTTTTTTTTGGCTCGCTCTAATTATTTTCTAATTTTCGACAAAACAAAAATCGAAGAGTAAAGAGACGCAGGTAAAGGAGAGGACAAAACATGTCACAACGAAAGATGCAGCCGTTCAACTTTCTAAAAGAATTTCTCGGCAACAATTAACGGAAATAATTGGTGAAATAATTAACCAAATTTTGGCTGCCAATGAGAAAAATCAACAATTGCACAAACATTCTGGTATATCTAGGTTATCAAATTTTCAGCTGTAGAATAATTAATAATAATAGTAATTAACAATAATTAATAATAATATTAATAATAATGACAATAATAAT